GTGGCAACCTCCTCGATATCGTTATCACCGGTTGCTACCGAGCTTCTTCCACGTCCGGCGACTTGCGAAATCTAATCTGATCTATTTATCCGACGACAAACAACCATCAAGTGACCTCCGCTTCGACCATGTCATGTGTGCAGCTACGATCCTCTCAAGGAGGAAAACTTTGTTGGCTCTTCTCTCTCTGCATTCTGCTCCTCTTTTTGCTGTCTGTCCGGGTTTCGGATCTACCTCTTTTACAAGCGAACATTTACTGATGATTCCCGCCCACGTGTAGGTCTTTACTACAAGTTGCATGGTGTCCATCGCCCTGATTCTATGAAAAAGACCGTTATCAAGCGAAGAAAGCGCGTCCCGGCAGCTGCATCAAAATCTGCCGGTGGCCATTCTTCAGGGACCGACGGAAAAACTACTGGGACGGAGCCAGTCGACCTCTCTGGGGCCCCATATCATCCTAGCCTCCACGCTCACAACGAGTCTCAGATGCAGATGACCGACAGAGCTGCTGCAGAGGCCTTGGTGGCTGTAGGACGTGTCCGACGACATGTAGGCAATGGGAGCGACTACTCTCTTACACCTCATCGCGTCTACTCTCCCGACATATGGGGCGACGGAGAGCCCAAACGCAAAAGACAACGCAAGGACATCGACGGGCCCGTTGATGACGACAATGGCGACGACGTCGACATGGACATTGGCCATTCTCGACCATCCAGCCATCCTTCAAAACAAAGAGAAAGTCCAACTGAACTAGCAGCGCGTGGGGTGGTGGCGGACAAGCACAGACATAATTTACCGCCTCCGCCCCCCTCGGAGAGACTCGAGACTACGACATTGACCCTTTCGAGTTCATCCGTCGGTCGAGGACTAAGTCGGAGCGGGACCCCTGCGGAATTATCTACGCGTGACAATGGGTTCACCCATACTATTACCCGTGCCCAATCGGTGCCACAGCCCCCTGCTCGTCCTTCTCAACCTACTATTCCACATTCCCATTCAAATCCAGTCTATCCGAACAATCGACACAGTAGTCATCATCAGCATTCCGACTCTCATTCACTCATATCTCCAGTACCGCTTCCGAGGACATCGTCCCCCCGTCTTCTCAATGGCCACGCTCACTCAATCGATACCAGGTCTTCTTCACCCTATCCTGACAGCAAACAAGATTCTCGATCATATGATAAAAAAGATCCTGAACTGCGAAGCAACGGCTGGCAGCAGCAGCGACAACGCTTCGGTGCCAATAACGTCGAACTTCCTCCACTCGCCGATATCCAGGCTAATCTTGATAGGGACGAAGAATCACGCAGGTCTTCTAGACCCCAGAATTGGAATACCCGTGGTGGTCATGAGGATAATGGTATCACCCGAAATTCGATGCCGATGCAATCGTCACCTCCGCCCCTGGTAGAAGCGTCTGCTCAGTATACGAACAATGGCCATCCCTCGAGAACCTCTTCTTCGAGCCCTCCTATTCATCAAAGGGACGAAAGGGGTGTGTATGTGAATGGTTATTCGACGCGTCGAACAGGGAATTCTGATGACAGATCGAATGGGAGCGTACCTCCTCCTCTTACCTCTGTCTCCCGCTCGCATGAGCGCCATTACCGTCATCAAGCAGCTAACAATAACTCTGCCCC